CATTAGGTGGGTACAATACTCATCTTTCCAAAGGAGGGACAACAGCTCAATTTCAAAAGCTATGAGACTCCACACTTGGCAAGAATTTCTTGAGTGCTGCATTTCATTATCGCTTCTAAAATCAGAACTATTTTTAAAGTTGAATGCTTGTTTTTAAAAAAGGGCAGAATATACTATGTATGTGTCTTTTCAGTATTACTGGGGAGCTCCGAATATTCCTCTCAGTCTTCAAATTATTGGTAACATTGATGCATTAAAGGAAAAAGGATTCTAATCAAAGGAAGGGGGGAGGGGAATCAATGATGTTTGAAGGTGCTGTGTGCTTTTCAGGATTCAGTTCAGGATTGATGCCTGCACTGTATTTCGGTATATTTCTATGATGGCTAGCACAAACAAAGTGGTAGCGGGGTTTTTAGTTGAAACAAAATGCACTTATTTCACTGCATTAAGTCAACTGAAAACAGGATGAAGAAATGAAGATGCTACCATACCTTCTAAGACTATTGGAAAAAAGGATTATGACACTTGCCCTTGGTGAAACAGGAAATCCAGACAACAGAACAACATCTCCTGCTGCCCTGAGATGTACAAAAGACAAAGTGATGCTCTGTGCAGCATTAGCTGTAGATCGTGTAGTGGATCATGTTAGGTATAGACAAATTTTTGCCTGACTTATTTCACTAAGACTGATGCCAGGAGTAGGATTAGGCTCTAGGTTTTTAGACAAGTAGAAAATACAACATTTCTCAGGTCATCTCGTAGTATTCTAGTGTCCTCTGCCTTAAAAACCAAACTGCCTTTGGGCATTACCCTTAAGTCCCGTTTCCCTTGTTTTGCATGTCCATCTCCGGAAAAGCAGAATGGAACCAAGAGAGCTCAGTTTTCAGCCCCCACCTTTGGGCTACACATGCAAAGAAACTTTGAAGACCTCTCAGGAAAAATACAGCTCAAGATGCCTCCCAACACAGGGAAATAAAACAGAACTGCAGAAATGTTATTGCTCTGAAGAGGGAATTGTAAAGATCTTAGTAGTGACTTAATACATTAAAACTCAGTGTCCATGGTGCTGATAACATTTCTTTCATCCACAATAATACGATATCGTGTCTGTGTCTGGATTGGATATTAAATATTAAAGGTAGGAAATAAAATCTGTGTTTGGGTTCTTACTTGCAGCCTGATACGTGGCCCAGGGATTTTTGGTGAGATCATGATATATTGGAATATAACACCTCCTCATCACACAGAATTTATTGAGACCGCGGGGACCTTGACGATGCGAGATAGACAGTCTGCAGCAGTGGTTCTGATACAGGTATGTGAGAGATTTGACACCAGTTGCTATTTCAAGTACTTCCTTTTATTTAGTTAGCATCTTGGTTAGAAATAAGTTTTAACCCTCTCCCTGGAAATGGTTTAAATCCTTTTACCTTTCATTGGTTCTTCTCCCTAGGCGGTAGATGACAACCGTCCAGAGGAGAAGCATTACTACCAGTTTCAACTGACTGGAATTAGTGATGGGGCACTCATAAATGAATCTAGCGGCACAGCAAATATAACCATGGCCGCCAGTGATTTTCCGTATGGAGAGTTTACATTTTCACAGGAACTATTGCAAACCACAGAAGAAGAAAAATGGGTATTAGATTAAAATTCCTTCTTATGTAAAATATTGATAGATATCAATATTGTTCCTAGAGTTATGCTTCATTTTAGAAAAAAAAAAAAAAATCAAAGATTTATTTTACACTTATTGTAGCACAGTCTCCAGAATGGCTGTCTGAGGCTGTTGGAGATTTTTAAAACTCTGAGAAAGAAGGCCATCTGCTAAGTTATGTGTACTCTGTACTTACTAAAGCAAATTGTTGTTACCTAGCAGAAGTGTTGAAAAGATGCCTTTAGAACAGTCTCCTAAAGGAAAATGTAACAGAAAAACAAAGCCATTTTTTAAAGAAAATGTCCTCTTTCCCTTCCCTCAGGTTAACATCACTATTGTGCGTTCCAGGGGATCCTATGGCAAAGTGCGTCTTTGCTTTCAGATAATAAATGGGACCGCAGAGGAGGGAATTGATTTCACTCCCACAGTAAGGGACTTGTTGTTTGAACCACACGAGGAGAGTAAAATGATTTTGGTTGAAATTCATGATGATGACTTTCCTGAAGGTCCTGAAGACTTTTCAGTGACGATTGCCAAAGTCGAACTCCAAGGAAGGTAAAGATAAAATTCCCAATTGATTGATTACAAGCAGAAGAACAAACTGGTATACCTGGGTAAAGTCACCACTGGTTTTCAGCTGTTTTACTGTAAAATTTCCTAAGACAGCAAACATAGTAATCATAATAGAAATTGGATGTATGGGGAACCCTTTTAACGTTAGTATAAAGATTTTGCTGATTAAGATTTATTAAAGCTAAAAGTCCATACATTACATACAAGTTGTCAAGTTGCATGGAATTCAAATAAGAAGAAAAAATGAGAAAGAAAAAATTAAAGATAACACAGTTCTATGAACAGACTACTATTTTTGCATTAATAATAGTTTGAAAAAGTGTGACCAAAAAGTCTTCTGTGATAACTGTCAGAATATAAAAGCATTTGTAGTAATTGACAAATTGTCATACATGCATCTTAACACTTCACAAGAATTTTGTATGTAATTTTCTTTTTTATGTTCTTGCAAGTGGATTTGATTTCACTGTAAAAGAAAATGGTCTGCAGGTGGATCAACCTCCAATGATAGGAAATATCTCCACAGTACAAGTCACTATAGCAAAAAGTGACAATGCAGAAGGCATCATAGAATTTGATCCACAGTATATCCTTCTACAAGGTAAGTTTACTTTAAGTTTTCAGCGTGCTTTAGAAGATATTTCTGTGGCTAAGGCATAAATTTTTGAAATAAAATATATGTGATAACTTTTTCTTAATTACTCTTGCAGTGGAAGAGGATGCTGGATTAATCATGATTCCTGTTGTGAGAAAGCGTGGAACTTACGGCTATGTAACAGCTGACTTTCTTTCTCGAAGTATTTCTGCGCTTCCCAATGGTGTTGACTATGTCGTCCATAATAATTCTGTCATTTTTTATCATGGACAGAACCAGAGTTTTATTTATATCTCTATTATAGATGATGAAGAAAGGTAAAATATTTCAGATATTTATTTACTAATTTGCTTCTCAGAAATAGTTTTTCAGCATGTGCGGTATTTTCAATTGAAATTGAAAAAAAATTCTGCAGTGCTGAAAAATCACCTAAATTTAAAAGGGAAAAAAGATGCTATCATTAAAGTTTCATGCTTCATGTTCAAATTTATGCAAAACAAATACATTTTTAAGTATATTATCAGAAATATTGGGTGTTAATAGTACTTCTGTGAATAATAAAATATTTTGCCTATATTTTTTAAAATTTAACATGACTAGAAAAATAGAACATTATTTTTATTTTAGGTATCCCCATTCTATGCAAGTGGGAGGAATGTCCTACTGTGTGGTTACAGAGCTGACTTCTGTATACCTTTAAACAAACCCAGTTGGATGCATGACTGACTTACTAAGTACAGTTTTAATTATTTTTTATCTCGGATATCTCGGAAACGTTTTTTCTTTTTCCATGCAGTGAATTTGCAGAGCAATTTGAAATCCAGCTGACAGGAGCCACTGGTGGAGCAGTCCTTGGGGTCCACCTCGTGAGCCAGGTCACTATTGCTAAAAGTGACTCCCCTCAGGGCACCGTCCGGTTTGTCAACCAAAGTCGAATTATTCTTCCCAATCCTGATGCACCCACGCCAATGTCTCTGGTGCTGGAAAGGACTGGAAGATTGTTAGGGGAGACACAGGTGGGCCCTGGCTATCAAAGGCTGAATTCTTTCCACTGACTAGGTCAAAAAGCTCCTGCATTTTCCTTCAAGAGATTCTTTGTGACTGATTTCTAATAGGATAATTGTGGCTTTTTATTAAACATGAATTACATATAGTTGCAGTATAACAGAAAATGTTGTTATTCTTTTAATCTTCTCTTTTTCCTCCTGCTTTCTTTCTTTTATTAGAGTCTTGGGTACTTTGTTTTGAACTAGCTCGTAATTCCATCAAAAATAGGGTTAATTTGATGGACCGCTAGTAATTTAATTTAATTCAGTTAAATTACTTCCTAAAGCTGGGCAAAATTTTTTCAGTAAATTGTTTACTATGAGTTTTCTAGATTTATTTTTTTTTTACTCTACAGACCACTGAAAAAGTGAAGGTATAAATCTGAACCAAAGTAGGAGTTTCAGAGTCTTCGCAAATGAAGATTGTCAGTAAAGGCCATCAGCTCCTCTTCTCCCCATATAAATATTGCCTCGGTCTTTGATTTTTTCTAGAAGTCATTTCAGAAAACTGAAAAACAATTAAAATGGCCAAAATCTTAACTTCAAAGTGCTGAATATGACCTCCTCAAAAGCAATCTAATTTGTGGAAAATTTTGAAAATAGTCTAGCTTTTGATCAGGCTGAAGCAGTACAAATCATCATTTGAGGGATAAAAACTTTTATTGCAGACTCTTAAAAAAATATTTCTCATTTTCTGTCTTGATGCCACACTTCACAGGGAATGGTTTTGGTCACGAGTACTCATTTGCGGAGCTTCTCAAAACAAATCACAAAAGGGGGAGAAATAGAAACCAGCTTGTGTGTTTACTGTTACTTGCTAAAGAAATCTCAGTTTCTCTTCTTTTCTGTTACTAATACCTAGAATTTCATAGACCGGCATTGTGGCTACGTGACACTTCAAAATTTTCATTTGTAATTTGTCATGTTTATTTTTCCAAAGTTTTATGTATTTTCCCTCATAGAATTAATTATGAACATTTTGTATTCTGTATTAACAGCAAAGATTTAAACCTAGCTAGTTACCAGATATGAGAATTTTTATGTCCCTTGTGGTACTCTGCCATTTCTCTCCCTGGGATGCTGCTATAATTTATCACCAAACTAAGTCTGAAACCAATATCTTCCACAGATTAATTGGGACATCTTGGGACCCAATTCAGAAGAGGTTTTATCTCCCCTGAATAGTGACATTGGTGACCCTGTGAATGGATCATTCTATTTTGGAGAAGGAGAAGGAGGTCTGAGAGCTATTAATCTACTAATCTATCCTCATGAAGAAGTTGAAGTTCAGGAGATCTTCATTATTAGACTGAGTGTTATGAAAGGTGAAACAGAAGTAGATCCTAAGGCAAGCAACGTTACACTGATAGTAAGTCATTGTTGCTTTTCTTTCTTCTGAGGTATATGTTGATATAGGTATTTATCCTGCAGAGCTTTTAAAAATTAATAATTATTGCGTAGTTTGTCATTTGGCTTTTTTGTCCTTTGTACTACTTAGGTGCATTGTTACAGCTTCACTTTTTAAAAATGAAGGCAAAGAATCTGTCAGTAAAAATTTGTATATAAGCCCTGACCTTGCCCTCTTATTTACAGATTTCTGTGGTTCTCTTTGAAGAGGGCAGGGATTGGGTCCTCATTTCTAAATGTCAGTTTGTTGTCCATCCCTTCTTGACATCTTCTTCTGCTACAGCTATTGTATAGAAAAGAAAGGAGAGAATCTGACTATTGCAGAGCAAGAGAAATGCAGAGATTTGTGGGAGAAGGCAGAGGGAGTTTTCAAAGACAAATTATTGCTCTAGGGATATGGCAAGTAAGGAAATATTTATAAGGTGCCCGCAAAAAAAAAAAAAATCTTTCCTAGAAACTGGATTTTGTTATTGGTTTGGTTTGGTTTTTTTGGTTTTTTTCTGGTCTGTAGAGTGTTGATGGAATTAGCACCTATTTCCACAGACTCCACGGTTTCTCCTTCAGGGACCCAGGTTAATTCCTTGGACCGGAATGTTCCACCCTGCACACCAATGAATTGGCTTCTCGGTAGTCACTGGTGTTACAACTCAGTTATAAGACAGTTCACCATGAATTCTTATTGTAGCTGGTGACTCAGGCAGGTGGATGTGGACGAGCTCTAGTCCAGAGGGCTGAGTTTGCAAACGGATAATGTTAGAAAGGTTTCTGTACACTAGCCCAAGGTGCTCCTGCTGTTGTAGCAGAATATTCAGATAAAGTATTAGAAATAAAACTCTGCCTTTTCTTCCTTGGATAGTGCTGAAAATCTGAAAAAGGGACATCCATGCTTTCTCTGCTGTCTCTTAGTGTCTTGTATCCATGGGATAAGTTTTCCAAATAATTTCAGAATTGCTTTACTCTCTGAAATGTGTTTAGACCATTTATAATTTACAAGACCATTTAAAATTCATGAATTATTTAAAGCTGAGGGAGGCTCAACTCAGTGGAGAGAATAATTGTTATTGCCTGAATTTGTTTACATACAGTGCTTTTATTAATCCAAGCCTGAAAACTTCCCATATTTATTGGCAACATCCTATTTTGACTCCTGTTCAATTTAGATCCTGCTTAAACTTATTTATGTATCATTGTAGGATTTTCTCACAAAAGAAGTAGTTAACCATAGATTTCATATAACAGTCTTGTTGTGTGTGCAGGCGCGCACATGGGCTTGGTATCACTCCCTTCTCATAACTTGATGGTCCCGTCTGCTGGGCTGGGTTATTTTATCCTCTCAGACTCGATTCTAACTACTAATGTACTGTTGAATCTTATTAAGAGGAGAAAACTCATTAGGAAGAACTATTACATATGTGCCCTGTAGCATCTAGCAGTGAAAATCTCAATGATTTGAACAAGAATACAACACAATCTAAATTTCTGATGTTTTGTTTGTTTGTTTACTTTTTTTACAGATACAGAAGTTTGGTGATCCCAATGGAATTGTACAGTTTGCTCCTGAATCGTTGACTGAGAAAAACTATACAGAACCCTCAGCAGCGGAAGGGCCACAAAGTATTACACTGTTTGTCAGACGAATTCAAGGCACTCTGGGAAACATAACGGTATTCTCACCCTTTCCCTAATAAACAGTATAATCTGAACTCATCCTCAGTATCAATGTATGGAGGAGTATTTTTTTCTGTGCCTTTCAGTTGCTTGTTTCTCAGATTAATTTCTGAAACGTTGCCTCTTAGGCTGAATTTATCAAAGAGTCAGTCCTAGTACTTGTGGTTTGGGGAGTCAGATTCAGTTTTCCCTGGTCAGGAGTAAAAAAAAAACAAAACAGAAAAACAGTACTGTGGTGCTGCTCTCTCTTTCCTCTCCCTCTCCCACTGTGCTTTTGAGGGGAGAACAGAAGACAGCATACTTACATAGTGAGCTGCCTTTGAGATCATCACAATTTGCTTTTTTCTAGACATACTTAAAGGCAAGAATCAGAGTACTTTGAACCACCACTCCCATTGTTCTTTACCTAAAGTTGTTTAGACAACAGCATTTTAACGGTTATTTGTTTAATTAAAAAAACAATAAATCAATTAGTAAAACCACCTGCTGTGTTTAATGAGAACTCTTCAGCCCTTTCTGTTGTGAGGAAAGAGGAAATACAGCAAAGATGTCTTGGTGTAAAAATAGAAAGAATTTTTTAAAATGGTTCAGAGACTCCATATAGTTTTAAATAAATGTTCTGAAAACATACAAAGGAAATCTTTAATTTCACAGTACTGTTAGAGGAAAAACACACTCTCCTTTTGTAGGATAGTCTGGGTCCCTCTTTCTACACATACCTAAACCAATTTCTATTTTAGCTACTTAAAACCAGTCTGTTCCATATCTGATCTATACTGAATCCCAAATACGAAAGTTTCTGAATCTGTGGGTAATTTTGCTTTCTTTTGTTTTGTGCACTTTCTAAACTCGTTTCAGGTTTACTGGGAAATACATAGTGAATCTGACATCACAGGTGACTTTCTTAGGACAGAGGGATCTGTTGTCATTGCTGACCAGCAGAGTACAGCTGAGATAATCATCTACCTGTTACCTGATGATGTTCCAGAACTGGATGAGAACTATTCGGTGCGACTGATCTCGGTAGAAGGTGGAGCAGATTTAGACCAAGAGAAAAGAGTTTCAAAGATCAGTGTGTTTGCCAATGATGATCCTTATGGAGTGTTTGCCCTGTACCCTCATCAGCAGTCAGTATTTGTGGAGAGAAACCTGGATCGGTATGTTCAGATTAACGTAACTCGGCATGCCGGGGCATTTGGAGAAGTGCTCGTTGAGTACCATATCATGTCTCATCATGAAGAAGTGCTAATTGAACCTGAGAATGAGGTGGGATACCTCACAGTAGAAGATGGTGCCAGCTTTGGAGTGAAAAGAGTGCCAATAAGCAACCAGGTCTGTATTGTCCTGTTAGCTCCTATGATACCTGTTGTTTGCATTTGTCACGATACAAATGTGCTGGGATAAGATATTAAACTCTCAATAGTATCCACTGTGAAGAAGCAGAAAAGAGAGTTTTAGTATTATGAATTTCCCATTTATGGAATAGAACTGGGTTTGAATATTACATTTTCAGATAATAATTGCAAAATCACTGTTATGCATGTGTTCAAATACTCAGTTTTTCCTCCCATCATTGCTTTGTGTTACCATCAGTTCAATATTTTATTATTATATGTATGCAAATACTTTCCTGAGTTTCCCTTTTGGGTTGTAAGTAGTGATTTGTCAGTGCTGACTTACAAAGCAGCAGATAAATTTACCTTCAATTCTTTGTGTTCCATGTTTTTTTGTTATTATTATTACAGCCTCACACTGGCACACTTACATCCTTTTACATCCATTTTACATCTTTTTAATCCTAAGGATTAAAATCAAGTTGAGGCCCACTGTGTTAGATACAGTTTACTAAAATGGCAATAGCTGATCTACAAACTCACATTCCAATGAGCTGCGGGTAAATCACATTCACAATATTGATGTTTTAGCTGGATTACTTTTGAGAAACATAATCGACAAAACACTTGACTTGAAAACACTGCTTTTTTGTATGCAAGTGAAAAAAAATCTTCAGATTGTTCTGCTACTTCATTCTGTGAACTGGTGGATATCATGTTTTTAGTGAAATTAAATTTCTACCTTTTTAATTAAATTCTCTCTCTCAAAGGCATTTATTTTACTGGGCTTGAATTTTACTCTGGAACTGATTAATGTAAGCCTGGTTAGGGGAAGTGCCAAGGATGTGCCTAAAATTTTAGGAAAAGCAAAGTCAGCTGTTCTGCTTACTCCTGAGGAAGCTGCCAATTCACAGGTGAGTGGACTGGCTGTGGTGTGACGTTTCTACCACAGCAGGAAGGTGTGCTTCGTTACAAAAGATATCTGCAATAAGAATTCAGTCGGTTCCTTGATGTTTTCATCATGGCAACTAATTTAATGACTGGCAAGACTTTTCCAGTTATTAGTTGCACTGTACATTGTCATTTCTCTGATACAAATTCTTACAGAAATGTGCTAATACAGTTTGAAAATGTTTCTTCATCTATATCGTAAATAATGTAAATATGATGGTTAATTTATACTTTTGTTTACATGAAGTGGAAGTTCTGAGACTTAAAGGAAAACAACTGATTCTGGACAATGTTATTCCTTTAAGTACAGCAGCCCCAAAGTAGATAACAGCATGTATGCAGTATTATGTGCAAAATGAGGTGGAGGTCATGATGGGTTTTAACGCAGTTGACAGTATATTTTGCTGACCACTGAGAGGGAAATTTTTTATTTGTCTACTTTGCGTGAGAGTGAGAAAAGAGAATTTGCCTATTCTGACACGATATATGTGCTGCAAGTCCCTTTTGTGTCAGGCAAAGATAATAGCATGCTGAGTATTTATCTCTTAAATTTTATCGAAGTTTTTATTAAATGATTTTAATTGTCTTGAAGCACGGGTCTGTCTTTTAATTTTTAATTGAACTTAATTCAAATGGCCTTTCTGTAAACATTGTTTACTACCATCTATCCATTTATCGTTGCTTTTAGAATGTGCCAATTATCCTCCCTGTCCAATTTGCTGGTAAAAAAAAAAAAGGAAAAGTAGATCATACTAGCAAGAATGATTTTGTGAAGAATGTCATGTGTCAGCAACTTATTTTTCACTGGATACACAATTAATAATTTATTTTAGACCTGTGTGTATATATGTAGTACTACAGCTATCGCCTGCGAGCATAAAGAGCAGGTTGGTTTGTTTTTCTTTTAAACAACAGATGCAGAATGCTATATTCAGTGTTTTCAGTAGTGAAATGTCAGTCATACTAGTTCGTTTTCCCTGAGATCTAATTCTCAGAAATCTAAGATTGAGAAGTAATGTTGAAGAATTGTGAAGGAAGTGTGTATGTATATACACATACTCTCATATATATACACATGCATGTGTCTGTATGTGCTCATAATTATTGTAAAATTACTATGTTAAAAAAATATAGTATGCTTTTGTATATCTTATTGCCCATTTTAATTCATTTTTTTTATAACAAAATCTACTATGTTTCCACAGGTTGGCTTTGAATCTGTGGTTTTAAGACTTACAGACATCGTAGCAGGGACAGGCCAGGCTGTCATAACCAGAAAAGGAGTTTATGGCTCTGTAACAGTTAGCTGGATTTCAGGATACCCACCAGACCTCGTCACTGGCTCCGCTCAGCCAGGCAACGTTACTCCTCCATTTGGTAAGTCCTTGTCTGAGGAAACTGCTGTGAAAGTTGCATAAGTGATGATACCACCTTTAAGTTACATGTACCTCTGCATACTTCCTCTATTAGTGAAAAGTCATTAGAATGAAGTTGTATGGTCTAATTATTATCCTGTTTGTTTTATGACCAAAAAAAAGAACTAAGCTTCATCAATACATGTCTGGGAGGTAGGCACAGTGCTATGCCCCTTAAGGACAGCTTTATATAGGAGAGACCCTCATCATACAGATTTCTTCTTCCTAAATGGAGCGGAATTTGGATTAGAGTTCCTATCTCAGCATGTTTCCAGGTAAAAGAGGATTCCTATTTAGTTATCTTGACTTGTGCCCTCTCTCACTCTTTTCCTTCAGGTACTGTTGTATTTTCCTCTGATGAACGAAGTAAAGTGATTTCATTTCAGGCTACTCCAAGCCTAAATGAACACGAGTCGTTTGCCATCACTTTAACAGCAGTGCACAGCAATGTGTCTGGTGGGGCTCGCCTGAGGTAAGGACACTACTTATACTTTTAAGTCGCACAGATACCGTAAGAATTACGACCTGTATCCAGGCATGTGCCTTATTCAAACCCCTATTGAATTATAAGTAGACAGCAAGTTGTAGTGCTGCCATAGATAAATTTGTGTGTCTTGTCTCAGGTGGAAACAAGTGTCAGTACTGCAGATCTGACCTGGTCAGAACTGAGGCTTTTCTCCAGTTGCAATCTATTTCATATCACTGGGATCCCACGTGCCTGGAATGTGTCTAGAATGATGGAGACAGTTAAGGAAATGTTTTATCCAGATCAACAGTTTTATCCAGGAAGCTGAAGAATGAAAGCGGCTCTAGCAGTTTTCATTAGTGTCCATTAAAATTTTAGCAGATCTTAGATAACAAACATTATTTAAAAATAATAAAGTTCCAAAAATACCAAATTTCTATTAAAAAAACCCCTTTTATTCTTAAAAACAAAACCATTACATGTAATGTATTTTTCCATCTCAGCTAAGTTTTTATCTATTCTTCAAACTATTTGCTTCACATTCTTCCTTACTCAGCTGATAGCTAAAAGTGGTATGAAAAGAATGGACATAGAGTAGCACTGCATACAGAGAAAGGGTTTGGCTTCACCATATTAAGAGTCACTTGTGGCAAACCTGAAGGAAGTAACGAATGAACTGGATGGCTCAGCTCCTGGGATTGACCCCTTCTTCTAGTCTTGTCTGTCCAGTGGACTGGTGTCCTCAGAGCACCTGTTTAGCATGTGAGTCAAATACCTTGAGTGTATGAGGATGACCTTAGCTAGAAAACTTCAGACTGCATCCCACAGGGGGTGAAGCTGACAATTACTTTGAAAGAGATTTTGACTCCCGAAGCCATGGAAAGGGTCTAGCTTGTTAACCTAAAGCACTAGTAATTGTAGCGCCGTTTCGTAGCTTCTAGCACTGAATAATGGGTTGGTTCTAGAGTGTAAGACCCAAGCTTTGGCAAAGAGTTTTAGTCCCTGTGCTTATTTTCTAATAAGAAGGGGCTATATTTAATATGAACGTAGTAGAGCTTAAATTGGTATTGATAATAGGGCTCGGATCTGGAAAAAATGGCTATGAGTAAAGTTGAGAGGGGACAGTTAGTATTTTAAAGCCCCAGTGTAAGTTTTGAAAGAATTTCCTTTCCTTCTCTCGCTACCTCACTAAAGCTGTAGGTCTGCTAGCATCCCTCTGCTCCACTGTTTTGCCTTGGTACGGGAAGTTTGTTCGACAGTTAAAACTGGTTTTACTTGGAATCACTGTATTGTCATATATCTCCCTGCACAGTAGGAAGACATCATACTTTCCTTTGCATCTCTATTTTCTCAGGAAGGTCTTATTTTATTTATCCTTTGCTCTGTATCCTGTGCTGACTCAGGATGCATTAAGCCTGTGGAGGGCTGTTCAACCCAATCATTCCAAAAACATTTCTCAGGGAAGCTCTTTACATCTTGCCTTGTATGATTTCTGTTTCTTCTATCTACTTTATACATTTTTTTCCCCGCTTTCTTACAGCCATCATTGACAGTTCAATGGAAATTATTCTGTTTGAGTGTTTTACTTCTCATATTTCCTCACTCAGCTTTGATATCTTTTCTGTTTCAGGCCAGGGTTTACAATTGCTGAAATTGAGCCAATGGGGATCTTCCAATTTGCTCTTAACTCAAGATCTGTTTCAGTTGAAGAAGATGCTCGGGCAGTCACACTACGTGTCCAAAGATTGTTCGGTTTTCAAAGTAATCTCACTAAATTGACATATCAGACCATTCCAGGAAGTGCCAAACCACTAGAGGACTTTATACCCATCTACAATGGAGAGCTGATGTTTTTACGTTTTCAGACAAATGCTGTGATAGAAATATCAATAATTGATGACACCGTGTCTGAAATGGAGGAATTTTTTTTTGTAAATTTAACTGCTGTGGAAATTTTGGATGTTCAACCTGTGAGTCCTGACTGGAGTCCACGTTTGAATCCAGCATTCAGTGTTGCAACAGTTAATATCCTGGCTAATGATATTCTTCATGGAATACTGAGTTTGGGGCCAGAGTTTATTTATGTTGAAGAAGATGCCAAAAACAGTACCCCCAACACAGTGATACTTCATATCAGAAGGACCAGGGGTTTTACTGGTGATATTGCAGTAACCGTTAAAACCTTTGGGGGATTAAGTGCACAGAGTGGAGTAGATTCATATCCTTTTGGAAATGTTTATGGAAAATCAGACTTCACATGGGCGATGGAAGGAGAAGATTTTGAAGAACAGTCAGTCTCTGTGACTTTGCTGGATGGAGAAAGAGAAAACAAGGTGTCCATAAAAATTTTTGATGATGATGAGCCTGAAGGACAGGAATTGTTTTATGTTTTCCTCTCAGATCCTGAATGTGGAGCTCAGATTGTGGAAGGAAAGGATGAATATGGATTTGCTGCTTTTGCAACAGTAATTATTGAAGGTAATATTTTTCCCCCCAGAAAATTAGTAGATACATCTGAATTAAATAACAGTAACTAACTGTATACAACAGTAACTCATAGCAATTTTCATGTAAAGATTGGAATTCTCTTTGATAACAAGCAGGGTATTGTATTCACGAATCTTGATTTTTCCAGATCAGAGGAAGCGTCTACTGCATCAAGCCCACCATGCATCCCTTAGCAACATAGCTCAAAAAATATTTAGAGATGCTGCTTATCTCTGTTCTTGTCCTGTTTTACTTCATTAAGGGAAGGGCTAAGCTGGAGTGTTTTTCTTTCACACCTAGTAGCGTTGCAGACTTTTTTGTTTTTCTTTGCCGTTTTGTCACTTTGTATAGGGTTTTTACAAAGTACAAAACCCAGTTTCTGTTTCTGTTATTTGATACTATGCAATTCATATCTGCAGTTCAGCCATCCTCTGCTTCTGGGGATGGAGGATAGGAACGGGCTTACACAGACATCAGGGAAGAGTTTTTCTTTCTGTCACTGCACACTATGTGATTTCAGAGCTCGAATTTCCCTTAGCTCTTAGGTATCTATCAATCCGACTTACCAATTGAATATAAACAAAGTTTAACTGCAATATAGATTAAGTTTTAGAAACAAGTAGGGAATTGGAACAGTTTAGGCTAATCAAGAAAATTATATGTAAGGTCCAACATTTACTGGAAGTTTTGTGTATTTAGATAGTCCTAACAGTACAAGGTAGATATTGCAAACCAAGATTAAACTGTGCCATTGGATGAGTGTATGCAGCAACCAAAATTCTGAGTGCAAGAACAGACCTTATAAAACATGTTCTCTTCATGTGCGCCATCTCTAGAATTCACCATGCAAGTAACCAGTTGCACCTATGTGCAAATTAATCACAGAAATACATGCATAAGCACAGGATGGAATTTGAACTTGTACTGAATCCCACAGAAGTGCATTAATATGTTCTAGAGTTACACCCTGAGTCCCATGAGTACATAAAGATCAGGAAACAACTTACATTAAGGAGAAGCGTCAAAACATGTATCTGCACGTAACTGTACAGGTAGAAAGGTACCACAGGTTAAATATATTGCATGCAAATACGCAAACACACAGCATCTGTTAATCACCTTCAGTATATATAACTGACGTTTAATATGCACTGTGTCGGAGCTAGATTGCCTTCCCAATTGCAGAGTAAAGCCGTCGCTGCCTGTGAAGGTGAAATACGTTAGAAGCAAGATTCGATGGGACACTGTGATGACATTAGTTTCCCCTCATTAACCCTTTTGGTTTTTACTTCCACTACTGTTTTGCTGAAGTTATTTACATTCCCATGAGGACAACACGGTATTTTGCAGCTTCCGAGTTCCACGCACAGAATTAAAGATGCAGGAGAGAAGCTGATGGAACAATTTGAGAAAATGAATGGGTTCAACAACATTATGGTTGAGATGAATAAGAAAGCTGTCCTTGGAAGCCCATCTTTATCCCATAACCCACCAAGTCCATCTAGGGGCACACCGATGCCCATTTCTGTTTAGAAAGAATATGTTTTAAGGGTTATGGTAAACATAAAATAATATAGCTGAAGTGATATCCCCTAAGGGCATTATAAGCAAGGTATTTGACATTGTTCTGGACTCGCGTAACACAGTCTCTTGGAGTCAAGGGATGCAGAATTCAATCATTTTGCTGAACGCTGCTGAAAATATAAGCTTATGTGCATAGATGGTATCAGGACTCTCATAAGGAATTTACTTTCAAAAAAACTTATTCTTTTGGTTAAAATAAAATTTAGAAATGCCAGTATTTGAAGTTCTAGATAAATATGGAGTATAAATTAAGAATAGAAATATTAAAAGAAATTGTGTCCCTGCCCATGTCAGGGGTATTGGAAGTAGATGATTTTCAGGGTCCCTTCCAAGTCTAACCATTCTATGATTCTACGAAATTTTCTCGTAGCATCCCCAAGTGGTACTTTGCAGCATGCTGTCGATACCTGGTTTGTTTTTTGGTTTTGTTTTTTTTTTCAGTTATCCACATTAAAATTATAATTTAGTCTAAGCTTAGCTTTCTTGCTAATTACTTTCCTGGACTGTTTCCTATATAGGAAGTGATCTCCAGAACGGCATTTTGGGATTCGTTCCAGAAGTACAAAGCGGTCTCGTACTTGATGAAGACTCAGAAAACAGAGAGGTGCTGCTGATTGTCGCAAGGCAACCAAACAGGTGCTGGCAACAGCTGATTCAAGTGCTCTTCCCACACGCTGTAATATGATGGTGAATACGTTGAATCACAGAAGCTACTGTTAGTGGAAGAGGTTATCATAGAGTTTTATAATAAATCTTTGCCTTTCAGCTCCTTTAATAACTTCAGAATTTGGCAAATGGGCTTTTAAGTTGTGAATGTGATTAGGTCTGTCACTGTACTGTTATAAAGCAGAAACGGAAAAAAACAAGTGTTTTCCAACTTACACTGTAAGGCAGCAAGTGTGAAAGTTTTGCTTAAGGTAAAGTATTTGCACTACTAAAGACATAATTCAAATTCTCATCTCCCTGTGTAATATAATGTAGGTATGAATACTAAAATGAGCAATTAAGAAGATACCGAAGTGTCAGAACTATGCTAATGTCTTCGCTCACACAGATAACATGTTTGGGTTTTTTTCTAATTAGCATGTATATATGTTGCATATTTGTGTGTACTTTAAACAAATATGCTCAAGTAGTCTAAGTTCCTTAAACTCAGCAGAAAGACAGATTCTGTCTGGCTTTCCAGGCAAATGGTTACTATAATATTCAGGAAAGCACTTGGACACATCCCTGCCTTCCCAGCCACCGGTGTCTCTTATTCAGCTGATCTTATGTTGTCTGAAACAAAAATTGAAAATAATGGGGCTGCCCATAATTGCTTTATTTTCTTCCTGTGTTACTTTTTGGTAATCTAAACAGATTGGAGAGGAAGGAATTTAAATAAAAATAGAAAATTTTTCATTTTAAAGCAGTTTATTCCCTAGTGTTAAGTTTTGAATAATAACATAAAATGGATATTACCTCTGTGGTTTATGTTTCCTAGAGCAATAGTGCTCTCCCTCACTATATGCATACTGTTTTGATTTGCTTATAGGGCTTTTGAAGATGTGAAGATCTTTTGGCGTGTGACCTTTAACAAAACGGCTGTTGTCCTTCTGAAGGATGGCATGAACTTGGAGAAGGAACTTGTATCTGTGCTGGGAGCCACTACCTGCATGGCAGGTCAAACAACGTGCAACATCTCCATTGAAATAAAACCCGATAATGTAAGTAATTATTGCTCATTTGTGCACAGAACTGTGGTGCTGAATTGCAATTTATCAAGATGAGAAAATCCCTCTGATCCAGAGGAACTGATGCGGAGGGCACAGTTTGAAGATGGTAACTTGACATCTGCTCAGTTCCCCTGCAAACACTTGTTTGTTTACAGGCTTGTATTATCCCCACTGTGACTAGTAAAAATTTGGGAATGAGATGAATATTTAATTTGAAGAGTAAATTGAAGATCCCAGATTTTTATAGAGCAATAAGAAAAAAAAAAGAATGGAGTTATTTCAGGGAGATGCATATTCATATATTGGACTCTTATCCTTCATGCCATAAATTTTTCACCTATCAAAGCACTTCTTAGGGTGGTTTATGGAAAGCATATCCTTTAAGTAATAACACCTCATTCAACAAAAAAACCCCCCAACATTTATCGCAACATGTGCATAATTTTACATGCCTAAATCTACCACAATGATCTGTGAAAACTGTACTTAATCATAAAGCCGCACAAGAATCTCTTGAGTGTCTAAAAATCTGTGGCTGTGCCCATCCAGCTTGTGAGCAGCGGAGTTCAATTTAGCAGCCATCATCCACCAAAGCCATTTGGCATTTGTCAGTTGGTTATGCCTAAGCCTAAGTGCCTTGAGAGGCCCAGCTGGCACTCAAAAATGCAGATGTCATTGAATTAACACAAAGCACAGCATTCAGTCATTTCTATCGAAAATGGAAGGAAAAAATATTTTTGTGTGAGCGCCTAGTGGTTAGAGTAGTGCCTTAAGAAAGGAAGGATTAACGTTTGTTGTTCTTTCAGAGTGGAGAGTTTGAAATTTTCCAAGAAATTATCCTAACAGCCAGGCTAGTGGCAAAGCTGAGATCTGGGAAATGGAAAAGGACAAGATGAGGAGTTTTCCACGGTTTTTCTGACTGCATTCTAGAAAATAATGCAAGATGTAGGATGTGGGAAATAGTGATTTCCCACTAGGAAGCAGAGTGCGTTCTCTTAATGCAGTAAAAGGGCCATTTTCCTTCTTCGTCTTCAGATGTTACTTTTAAATTACAGAGCCAATGAATAAAACATATACATGAGTGGGGCACAGGCTGCCTTGCTGAGTAAACTGGGATTTTGAACCTGTTTAGTCCAAAGGAGTGATATCATTATTTAATAACAGCAGTGCGGCAGCTGCAGAGACATGCAGTTGTAGCACACGAAGCACAAGCGTGTGCCACGCTAACGGGGGCTAATGGAAGGCTGAAGTTCCCTATCGCGTTCCCATAGGTTTGTGCCTGTCATCAGTTAGTCAAGATCACTCCATTTAAAGAATTTCTTAACAGCTCGATTAAAAATATGTGCTATTTAACCCCACAAATGTTTCCTAATTCTTCTTCCTTAAGAGATTTTATAAATTAGTAACAAGTACATTAAGAAATGATGAAGTAATAAATACATTCAATAAATATTTTACATTTTTTTATGGTGAATGGTATGACATATTCTAGCTTTTGAAAGTTTTTACTTAGCCAGTTGTACAGTCAGTACAGACTCCATTAACTAAAAGCTGAATCCTGCTTTCCTAGAATTAGAGTAGGATTTCCAAAAATCCAGAGCTGAAATAAAAAGCCATGTTTACTAATAAAAAAAATTGTCTTCGACGATCATCTTTTTTTGTAATGCTATTGTCTGGTAAAGAATTACTTTTTTGCTTGTTTGCTGCTTCATAAGTGCATGTAATAGGTTCATATGACACATTCTGGGATCTCAGTAATCAGTCATCTATTTCTAAACATGTTATGTCTGTATTATAGGTACAAAATCAAAGATAGGGCAATGTGTCATACTGAAATTTAATATTGCTACCTTATTGTCAATAAACAGGCATTACGTTTATAGAATTGACTAAATTAATTTTTTGACATATGAACACTAAAATCCAATATGCTGTATTTCCAGACTGAGACAAGATTTCTGTATATCATAAACCTCACAAAAGTCTACTAGATAATAGTATCTGCAGGCTTTGGAATTTCAGATAAATTCAGTTAAGCATTGAAATCTAGCGAGATTTGCTCATAAAAGTACATATAAATCTGTTAGTGTATAAACACTAAGGCCCTATGTAAAATATTTTTCAAAACATTACCAGAGTTCACTACTTGAATACAGTTGATATTAATTGCAGACCCAAAACTGCACACTTAGCCTTCTGTGTGTTTTTTTCCACGGGTAAGTAGGTGTGTAAATGCCTTTTTATAAAGCAAAAATAAAGCAAAAGAGCAAGTTCCTCACAAAATGTACAACTATGTAACTCCATAATCTGGAAAATGGAGCTCTTTAAAAGAGTTTATCATCATGTCTTACTGCAAATTTACAGCCACAATACATGTAGTATAAAAATAGCTCTGTTATTGCAGTAAAGTTCCATGCGAAAACTTGAGATGTCTTTATTGCACACGACAGAGTGGTGCCTGCTGCGACATTATTATTTTTAGGATATACTTCATTGTGCTTATTGCCCGTTTCAACAAGTATGCTTGTGGTAAGTGTTAGTACAAGCAATCCGTTGCGCATACAAAGGAATGTATATATTTTTTTAAAGCTGAAAGTCTTATAATGATATGAAAATCATCCCCCGTTTACAGGTACCTGAATTTGAAACATATTTCTTTGTTGAGCTGTATGCTGTCGGCACAGGAGCTGCATTGAACAGCAGTGCCAGATTTGCTGTTATAACAGTCCTTGAAAGCGATGCTCCTCGTGGTTTAGTATATTTTGCTGTGGGATCGCGTTTTGCTGTGGCTCATAAGAAGACAACTTTAATCAGTCTGCAAGTGCTTAGAGACTCTAGTACATCTGTAACCACAATGGTTACCTACAGCATGCAGGTAAGACTTCTGTTATTACTTTTATTATTTAACTTATTTTTATTATTAAATCATTGTTCATTCTCTAAAGTAAATGTGACCTTACTTAGCATTTTTTCAGGAAACAGTCAAATGTTTGCTGGGCCCAAATGCTCTAACTTCTTTGCTTTTTCATTAGTAAAAAGACCTTGTTTTCATTTCATTGTCAGTGATTTTGTTTGTAGTACCTTCCAGTGGCCTTAAAGTCTACAGTCTGTCAGGCATTAAATACATTTCTTTCTTTGCCCAGTGGTTCTTATCAGAGTCCAATTTTTGAGGCTTCTTGCTCTGAAATTAAGTTTTTATCATGATGGATGTGACTATCAAGATTCAGATACTAACACACTTTCCAGTTTAGGTCACAAATTCATTAATACACAAAGCACACTTAGGAAAAGCGAAAGAGTACTTTCATCAGATTTTACTCCATGTTCTTGAAGTACTGAACTCGAAAATTGTCCTTCTGGTTGAAAATCTCATGTGCTTAAGTCGATTTTACCATCCACATTCATTTTTGTTATGTTTACAGCTGTAACACCAAACTCTTCTAACTGTTAACCCTCTAAATGAGTACCTCATTATTATTGACAGATGATAAAGATCCTCCTTTAGCAGAAGTAACATAGCTGCGAAAACATGATTCTCTCCACTTCTTTATAGTTGTGACCCCAGCGTCAGGGCACAGGCTGCAAGAAGGATTCCTCAAAGTTTGCCATTACATCGGAATAGTGCTTAGCCTGATAGACTTTGAATATGTGGCATGTTATACCCAAAAGCATTATTTCAGGGAAGGGTTATTATAACAAAGCATTGTCTGAGCAATATACTTCCATCGCCCTTTACAATAAAAGGGTCTGCATTCTATTGTTACGTTGCATACATATCTGTTTTAACTGCATAGGATTCCATGGTGTTTCCGTGCATTTATTATACAGTAGCTGGTCACTGTTTTAGTTAGATTCTGTGGTAACACATTTTCACATCCTTTCCAGTCAAGAGTTAATTACAATTTAGTTGTTAAATGGAGACGAAATTGCTACTGTCCAGTGTATATTTAGGCTAAAGCATAGGGGGCAATTCCGTATCTGTTTGTATTTTTTATATAACAAACCTTCTTTGGATATTTTTAGGTTATGAGGGTGCGTGGCCAAGTACCAAAATGTTGGCACTTTTGATACCTGTAAAATAAGAGGTCACAGCAGACAGTAAGCATGAGGTGCTGACAGGAATCAGATGTTTACCTCTTTCCTACAGAGGTTTTTGAATGTTGTTCTAGTGCTTTTATTACCACTTATTTCCCTGTTTCCTAATTCTCTATTGGAAGGGATAAAAAAAAAGGAAACTTCTCACTGGAATTTGCACAGATTATGTGATCATGTTCTAGAGCAATTCTGAACAGATACACACTACTTTGTTTTATAACGTTTTCCTGCAAACTCAAAAAATGTCTGATTTATTCCATAATTAAATTTACTAGTTAAAGCTAAATATTTTAAAAAGGGGTCTAGCATTTCACAAATAAAAATCCTTTTTATTGCAGTAGGAGACCTTTTCAAGGTTACTTAACAGTCAGTATACAATCTGTACTTATTAAATGAATAGATACTATTGAAAAATCATACATCTGAATAGCAGCCTAGGATGTTAGTTTCCACTTAAGGGAAGTTTATTATATTGCCAGATATAATATCAAGGTTATGGCAACTGACAGAAAGAACAAGAACGTGAAGAATGAAACAGAAGCCTCATGGAAGGTAAAAATAGTGCTACTTCACAGGGAAATGAGGCCATATAGCATTCCGAGATAAGTTCATCTGTCTGCCTTGCATGTCTATTCTATAGTGTTTGCTTTGCCTTTGGACCTAAATGGATTGGTCTTCTTTTAAGTATTTATACTGGGACCGAAAATATCATGAATTGGTATAAGTTTGGGCACAGATTTCTAAAACGTTTGCTTGGCTTTTGTTTAGTTTTTATGTATCTGTAATTCCTGTCTGTACCCTGAATTGCAGATATAAACTTACAGCAGCCCCTCCGGAATTTACCCTACGGATGTGCTAACACTTCTGAATATCTATTCACCCAGAAAAGCTTTGTGAATTTTTTTAATTTTTTTTTTTTAAAGAAAGAAAGGGATCCTGTTTACTATTCTTCCCCCAGGTTGTCACTAGCCACAAGTGACAGACTGGTATTTCAGGGAGATATTTCATTTAGTGTAATTGTTATATCATTCTTAACTGCATTTTGAAAGGAGACTTCATTTTTACACATTTAATTTTACCCATTTAAATATGTGTGCTCTACAGCACCTGTTTTTGAACAATTGTATCTATCATAACGTTACCAAAAACTCTTTTGGTTTGTTTTAAGGAGCTACAAAAACCTGAACCTATTGGTCGGATCTTCATATCTCCAGCTGTGGCAGGACAAGATTTTGCCCGATCTGAAGGTTTATTGACTTTTGAACCTGGACAGAGAAATACGTTTCTGGATGTAACCCTGACTCCAAAGACAGGATCTTTAAACCCATTTCCTAAACGCTTCCAGGTTGTACTTTCTAATCCCACAGGCGGTGCCAGAGTAGATGATGTGTATGGGACTGCTAACGTCACCATTGTCTCAGATTTGGACTCCTTGCCAGTCTGGGGGCTGATTGATCAACTGCATCAGCCTCTTGATGACACCATTTTACACAGAGTCCTTCAGAATCTGAATGTCAAAGTGGCTACAGAAACTACAGAAGAGCAGCTTACTGCTGTGATGCACATAATTGATAAGGTAAACCTCTTCTGCTCTTTGTGAGTCATACAGTCATAGATTGGTTTAGGTTGGAAGGGAGCTTGTCAACTCATCCAGTTCCAACCGCCCTGCCCTGGGCAGGTACACTTCCACTAGCCCAGGTTGCTCCAAGCCCCATCCAGCCTGGCCCTGAACACCTCCAAAATAACCAATGACTTTAATAAGAGTATAATAACTCGTGGGCCTGTGATAAGATCAAGGTTAGTGTCCACAGCAGTGACACAGGGGCACAGACTGCAAAGGTAAAAATAGAAATTGTGAAGTCCTACAGTCAAGGAGGAAGTTTGTCTGCCACTAGTTAGGATGGTGGAAGGAAATAAAAAAGAATCAAATAGGTTGAAAAGAGCAACCAGTACTATTTTTGCACATGTACCTATTGCTCAAGATTTTCTGCTGTGCAAAATTTTCCCTTTAATGCCCTACTTTCGTAGAGCTTATTATGGTTTTTGGATTCTTGGGCCACATCTTTGTTGGCTTTTGCCCTGGCACCAGACAGTGAGGGCTGAGGTTTGCCCATATCTTCACAGCTGGCTGCAGTCAGCACACCAGCAAACCCTTCCAAGGCCAGCTGGAGTCTGCTGTGCTCTTAACCAGGCACGCAGCTTGGCTTTTTTTCCTGCACTAGCTTTGGGAATCGGATTGGCAGGGTAGCTGAGCACTTCAGCATTGCACTAAGTTCTGTGAAAATTCTGGGGCTAGTTTTGTGGCTTCCTGGCTCTTCTGGGCTTGTGGAACAACACACAGGAGGTGGGAAATATTTGAATACCTAGACAACAAACAGCATAACAATATTCATGAACAACAGTTCATTTGTGGTTGTTGCCATTTTGACACAGAAAACAGAGAAAATAATGTCAAAAATTCTCAGTATTCAACAATCTTTGATTTGTGAAAGAATGAAAAATGCCACACGGTTTATTTAATAATCAAATCCCTATTAGTAAACATATTTTTGTGTAGCTTTGACATAGACTGTGTCATACGCGTTGGCAGCAGTGATCAGAAGGTGGAAAAACTATTCTGAACTTCCAGAACGAACACTGGGATAAAAATGAAGGTCTTGCTACACCTTTCAACATGAGGAGATGTTATAAGCAGACTCTTGTGCATAAAATTGTGTTTGTTTTCTTCTCCTCTCATCAGGTCACAGATGTAGGTGAAAAACAATTACTCACTGATAAAAGTAGAAGTCTTTTCTATGAGATACTCTGTGCTCTGGCTAGCCCGAAACGTGAGGACACACGAGGTTATAGCCTGCTTGCTGAGGTGACCGAGAAGTTTGCTTTTTCCCTGTTGACTGGGATAATGTGTGGATCGCCAGGAGAAAGGTTAGTAAACTTGAATTCATAATACATTTTGGATATATGTGACAACTTAACAATATAGTCGAAGTTTAAATGACGTTTTTAGAAAAGGGACTTGTCTGTCATCTAGTATGTTGCCTATATGAATACTTTTTGCACTCTGTCACAATCTTATACTGGCATTATAAGGTGGTGTCACAAATAACTGGTACACTGACACAGGGTAGCTGTGGGAGTAGGAGTCAGGAGATCTGGGACATATTAATTCACCTTTAGCTTAAATATTGCCTGGAAAAGGATTCATTAACCCCTGTTAAGAAAATAACACATAATTGTATGATGCAGAGCTATGTTCTAAGGCTTAGATGACAGTAGGTAACCCAAAATTTCTACTGGCATTTTGTAATTTCTGTGTCCTTGCTTTTCCTCACTTGAACATTATTTGAAAAAATTTAAAAGCTACTCTTAGTTTTTACATGTAGTTTCAAATCACTAGTTTTGTCTGCAAATGAATAGTACCCTGTGGTCAGGCTACTGTGCAGGGGAAATGGGTGACTGCAGAAATAGTTGACACTCTTTTATGAGATGGATGGTTTTAAACAATGGGTTTCTCCCACTATAAATCTATTAAATCATAAAATGGTAGTTGAATTTAGAAAAAAAAAAAAAAAAACCAAACAAAAAAACCCACAAACCTTCTTTTCCCTCAGAAAATCAGCATGGTTTAGATTTTGATGTCAACTTCTTTTGAAGATGTATCTTTTCTTGCCATTTCCTAAGTTGTAGGGGGTATGAAGCCCATCTCAGCCAAAAGACAGCAAATAGCCTAAATATCAGAAGTACCCTGAAGAGTGTCCAGAACTTGAAAGTTCAAATTCTTTATTTCCAGAACATGAAAGTTCAAATTCTTTATTTCAAGTTTTTTTGCATTATCTGTTTGGAATAGGAAGTAAAGATCATCCATTTTAATGCCTCTCCTTCTTGTAGACTCATCTCTATGTCAAGTTATAAAGATGAGTATTATGATAACCGAGTTTACCGTGGAGGAGTTTGGTTCCAGATCATAGTGGGCAAAACCCAGAGGGAAAATGGCAAAGCTGAAGGACATAATAATTCAGCCCCTCTTTTTTTTTCACAGAAATTGAAACTGTCTGTCTATTAAATGCCATAAAGCCTAAAAATGATGGAGTAATAAAGTATTAATTACCAATACATTTCAGAGTCATTCTGTGAAGAACAGCAAAAGCTCGGTTCCACTTACCAGCCCTATTGGTTTTCCATTTCAACAGAGGTAAAAATATCCTTGACAGCTGCCCGTACATTGCAATAATGGCTCACAACTGGTTTCCTCAGCAAATCAATGGACACAGATTTGATGGAAAAGATGGGGATGCTATTCAAGTACCTGAACATTTATTAGAGGTCTCTGTTGTATTATCGCCTCCTCAAGAAGAGAACTGTGAATCTGTACAGTTCACAGAATACAGCAGTCAGCAGTGGTTCCTTACTGGAGACAAAGAACTTGCCCTGAAGAATAAGGTTTGAAGATAATGCAGTTTATTTTTTAAAGAAATTAGTTTAATTTAGATATTGCCCAAAACATCCTAAATGTATTTAAAATAATGTGAACTCTTTTGTGTGTGTTTCATTAAAATGAGCACTGACTGTTGAATTTTAACGTTAATCTTCTTGTTGCATTGTACGTGTTGTTTCAGGTTTTTTCTATGAGTTTAAAGGGTCGGAGTTCACAGCCTTTGAAAGATAACAATGAAGTCATTTATCGGATTTATGCTGCAGGAAGTCGGATTGTTCCACAGAAGTCTTTATGTCTTCTCTGGAATCGAGCTGCTGAAAGGTTGTTTTATTAATCTGTTTAGTTTTCTAGTTTCTACTGTGAACCTGTGTATTTGCCTAAGATGTGATAACTCTGATTAGATCATTTTGCAAGTATGAAATTGACCGTTTCCTCTCTGTCATTTTTTCCTTAATTTTTCTGGCCTTTGTACCAGCACATAAAACTTTCCCTATAATAAAATGTGTAGTTATTCCAGCTCAGACATTTCTGAGACTTCTACTCGTGGCTTTTTTCACCAAAATACAGTTTATGTTATGTAATGGTGTGTTAGGCAAAGCTGACAGGCCATAAATCCCAGAATTGCATCACTTCATTAATATTAATGACTTTGTACTCTTTACAATTGTTATCAGACAACACGTCAAGTCCATTCTTACAGAAGTAAAGAATTATGCCTGCATCTCTGGTGTTGCTTCAAGTCACTGGCTCAGAATGTTCCCAGTTTGCTCATATCCACTCTTTTCTTTGGGTCTGTGAAAGACACCGTGTAAATGAACAAAAAACCCCACCCTGTTAAGGGGCAGACTAGGGATTCATCTAGAGCAGTATCCTGTCTCCAGTAGTGGTTAAAAGTAAATGCCCAGGAAAGAGTAAGATCGGGACAAGCATCAATAGCAGTTCCCCTAATACTATACTCTCCAGTCTCTCTATGAGCTGAATCTGATTTTGTGTTTTTCATACCCCAAATGATTTGTCTCCCACACACTTGTCTAGTCATTATTCCTCGCACCGTCCAGAATTTCAGCACATCTTTTGACAATGATCACATTGGGGCTATTACTTTTTTGACGGAAAAGCCACCTCCTGTTGTTTTTGTTGGTTTTGGGTTTTTTTTTTTTAATATTACTGCTAGTAGTTTAAGTTGGTGTGTCCTGTTTTTTAGAAGAAATGGTGAGCTGCTGATCATTTTCCATTCTTTTTGCTACTCATACCATTGCAAAACATGGAATAAATTTTCTTTATGGGCTCTTCAATGCCCCATTATTTGATTAGCATGTGTCTTTCCCATTCACACAGTATAAATGAATTTGGAGAAATTTTGTTAGACTGACTCAATTATATCAGTCTGTCACTGTTATAAATTATTTCTGTTCAGAAAGAATATGCAACAGAATTTCCCTGTATGCTCTCCTTTTATTTAGACACTATATCACAGAGCAGATGCAATTTTCACTAGAAATGGCTTAGGAACTCACCTGTAGTATACTTTTTCAAAATCAGTTCAGCAATACTGAAATAAAAGTGGGAGGTGTCCCTGCCCCTGGCAGGAGGGTTGGAACTAGATCATCTTTAAGGTCCTTTCCAGCCTAAACCATGCTACGATTTGATGATTCTATGAAAACAAAACATGAATTTTAGTTTCAAAACAAAAAATAGCAGTATAAAATGAAGCGTTGTCCATAATGGGATAAGGTATTGTGCAAGTTAAGTAACAAACTATGTGAAAAGTCAGATAGACCTGTAAATCTTGCAGAAGTTTTAAAAACATGGCCACAAAAATTCTCTAGTGGAAAAAAGATGTTTATTACGTATATTTTATTTTTTTAATCATAAAAGTAAAAGAAATCTATAAACAATATTTTAATTTCATGTAAATGTGCTATTCTGAGAACTGCATCTGAACGATTACACAAAACACCTATGCAGTAGTTTAGAAAACTTGTTTTTTCAGAGGTACAACAACAATTTTCAAGCCTGCTTACCATATAAATTGCACAACTCCATTTCCAACTTTGTGAATCTTTTGTTTTACAGCTGGCTGTCTGATAGCGGGTTCTGCAAAGTGGTTGATGACACCTCAGACTATGTGGAATGCTCTTGTTCTCACATGTCCATTTATGCAGTTTATGCCCAAACAGACAACTTGTCTTCATATAATGAGGCTTTTTTCTCTTCTGGATTCATCTCCATTTCAGGTCAGTTGATTTAAGACTGTTTTCTCATTAATAACAACTGATGACCAATAAGACTGATTTTTAGCAATTTAAATGAGGTTCTGGGTCCGCTCCTTGTGAGAGTTATGACTTCCATGCTAGATCATCACTGTACGAGTAACAGAAACAGTGCAAGTAGCTAAGTCCCCCATTTATCCCCCCTGCCCTCAGCAAACTGCCCTAACAGGCTAGGCTACTGAATTGTTTTAAAACCTCACCCATAAAAAAGAAGATAAAGAAAGAAAAGAAAAAAAGAAAAGAGCAGAAATTTTTTTAGCAGATAAAAATAAGCAGATTTTAAAATACAGTTAAGCTTCTAACTTATGTTGTGCTAGTGAAAGCAAAATAAAAAGACAAACTAATAAACAGAAGCAATTACTGGTTTACAGGAAAAAAAAAAGTTAATTGATGAGACAAATATGGCATAGAATGCAAAATACTATAGAAAGTGAAGGAAAATCCAATACGAAGTAAGCCAGTAAGCTGTAGAAACTGAAGCTAAGAGAGATGCTTTGCTGAACTGGAAGAAATAAAGACTTACATATCCTTGTTCAGTACTAGTCGTTTACTGTAGTCATGTGTCATCGGAGTGTGTGTTAACAATTAGAACAGTTTAGCCTTGTCAAGGGTTTGCCTTGAATATAACTGCAATGCCTTTCAGCTTCTTTGGCTGGTTGAAGGTGTTTTCTTACACGATTATATATATTTAAATCTATTGATTAACAAGTAGATTTAAGATCTATAAGGATATGCACTGCCTGACTGGAAGGTCCCAAAGAGTGGTGCTCAATGGATTTGAATCCAGCTGGCGGCCAGTCACAAGTGGTGTGCCTCAGGGCTCAGTGTTGGGACCATTTCTGTTTAACGTCTTTATTGATGATCTCGATAAGGACACAGGGTGTATCATCAGCAAGTTCGCAGATGACACCAAGTTAAGCAGGAGTGTTGACTCCCAGGAGGATAGGGAAGCTCTACAGAGAGACTTAGATAGATTGGATCATTGGGCCAACATCAGTGGTATGAGGTTCAACAAGGGCAAGTGCCAGGTCCTGCACTTGGGCCACAATGCAGCGCTATGGGCTTGGGGAAGTGTGGCTGGAAAGCTGCCTGGCAGAAAGAGACCTGGGGGTTCT